CAGAGGTGACCCTGGTCGGAGGGACCGCGGCACATGTTTCCTGCAAGAGTCTAGACGTGCCAGCGACTTTGGAAACACCACCGCTTCTTTCCGTCCAGTGACTGATGACTGTTCAGTTATCGACGTACATTCTTGTTTTTCTGTTATATGACTGCTGTGAGGCACCTTGTCAAGTGTTTGTCTAACACTATTCCCCAATTTATACTCGGCATTCCTCTTGATGGACACTGGACTTTATTGGTCTTGTCTCCGAATTTGACACCGTAGAGTTTGAAATGGACCCGATTTCCATCCTATGAGTGCCGTCAATGCCCACAACTTTGAATCACATCACCTCGCCATCGCAAAACGCAACGCACAACTTTAACATCTTCAATAGTGCCATATTTGTTCAACCGCTCTCTGCAAAGCTTCTACATAGTGTGCAATTGAAGCAAGCGATGGGAGAACCTCCAAAGTCGGATGAACCTGTACTTTTGGCGGATGGACAGGACCTGAACCCCAAGCATAAACACCGTTGAGAATGAGTGCTTTCCCTTTTGGTCAGAAGCTGCTTAGCGACATTTAGATATTAGATTAAACCTATAACCAACTAATTAATATCCAATCTACGTTCCGCAGTCAAACATTGACTGTACCTTTTTTCGACATGGTTGAATCTTGAATCCCATGCCCCCAATGTCTGGTTCTTTGAAAATCCGATACGGACCCAGGTTAATCTAATCTCATCACCCAACTGACTGCAAATACGTGATGAAACCTGTGCATGACAAGACGGATATCATATTACTTGGCCAACCCGGAAAGAAAAGTCTGCCATTCACGAAAACACAGTTCTGTCTTGGTTCTGTCCATATAGCTTAAGTTGCTAAGAAACGCTTGCCTCGTGCCACGCAAACACGACTCCTGGCAGATAAATGTGTTCCAAGCGTCTCCCAACTCATTTCATGTTTCGGTGCTGTTGAACTCCATGCAATTGGAGCTGTATCCCTTGCTAAGTTTCTACAATTTTGGTTACGAGCTACGCTAACACACTTGCGACTAGTACTTCGGAACTTCTGATCCGGACATACAATTTTTGTGCGTCTATCAAGCTTTGGACTCTCTTGACAGCGTCGCCCTTAAGATGATTTTTTTAGTAAGCCAACCAAAAGCCAACTTTCACCAGTTTTTTTTACGATCCACGTTTATATCGGCTTCACCCCGGTCCCATGAATTATATCATTCACTGGGAAGACAATAATTTACAGCATTCAGGCTAGCTCTCTTTCCATAAATACTGGAGGGTACGTTCCATCCCTGCACTCGGCAGTGTGCGCGAACCACTGGTATATCAAACCTTTTCCCCTTCCGCGTGTTTGCAAGTCATGGGCTTCTTCTCGTGGTCTGATGAAGACTTGATGGTAGATCGAGTTTTCTTACATGAGGTCACTTATTCTATGCATCGAAAGAGGAGGATATACGTACGGCGTCACACTCCCCGAAAGGGGATAAGGCTCATCCTCGACACTGTGTCGAGGATCAGAGGACGACAAGAGGACGAGCAACACAGTTGGACACATCCCAATTGGGTGAGGTGACGAATGCGATGTCACACGTCACTACCCCTCTCTTCTCACAACCACCACGACCATCGACGACCGGCCACCAGGATCCACCACCACGATTGAGGAACGGCGACGACCACCAACGAACGTCCACGGGGCCCACCACCAGGATCGACGAACGGCCACGAGGGCCCGCCAGCACCACCATCGACGGACGGAGACGAGCGCCCACCAACATCCACGCGCGCCCAGCACCACCATCGAGGAACGCCG